TTTTTTTCTTTTTGTAATTATTATTTTTGATAAAAGTTGAAAATTCCCCAAATTTAAAGTATATGATAACTATATTGTATGGAAGCTATGAGGTGTTTAATACTTCTCCACGCTTAACTAATCCTCCAGTCCCATTTAATTTTTATGTAGGCTTTGGTGATCTATACCATCTCATTTGGCTAGATAGCAACTTCATCTATTCTGACACATCAACATTCATGGTGAAATTGTTTTAAAAAATTATGAGTTGTTCTCATTGTTTTATATAGTGGAATGAATTAAACATCAATTTCATTTTTTGTTATGACTATCATAATACAATTTAAAGTTAATTTTTTTTAATATCTGATTTAATTTAGTTTTTTCTCTCTTAATTGAAGTATATGAATTGACCTAATACTATTGATATGATTGACACTACATGAGTTGAGTTTTTCCCCTTTACAAATGATATATTTCAAAACATTAGTAATCTAAATAGAAGGAGATGGAAATCTAATAGAAGTATAGAATTGTCTCCTTAATTAATTCGTTTTCAAATTACTAAATGAAGTGCCCAAAGAGTATGATTATGTTGAGAGATGAGGGAAGAAAATGATTTTTTTACCCTTAATAATGATAGAAAGGTTATAAGCTTAACAAATCATTTTGCGGCACTTATACAATTTGCTATGCTCAAAGAAGCAACCTAACAATAGGGATGTACCATACAATAAGATAGACTCTAAATTCTCTTGAGTAATTGTTTTCGTACTTAATTAATTTTTGCAATAAAAGTAGAAATTAATTATTCATACCATGTTTATGATGTATTAAGGTAAGTTAATCATTGATAATGAGTTAAAATAATTAAGTCTTAAAAATGATTAAATTTAGTGACAAACCATATAAAAAAATAAATGCTTATATACTTATATTACCCAACTTTTCAAAGACAAATAGAAAAGCACCTGGGCTTTGTGGTCCGATGACTATATGTTAGGGTTGGACTTTGAATTTCCCTCTCCAAATTGTAATTCGTTCAAAAAGAAAAGATAAATGGAAACAAAATGAATTTTTTATAATATGCTTTTAAGGTAGAGCCCTTAAATTTGCGGGTCAAAGACAAATCCACCCTAAAAGAATTTAGAGACAAATGACACTCCCAAATTATGGATCAATACAAATGCTCTATTATTTAACTATTGACGTCATTAACGTTAAAAAATCCGTTTGCTCGTGCTGACATGGCCATTTTTTTGACATTGTGGTCGATGGGTCTCATTCTTTTTCCTTTTTAACCGATATTTCCTAAATTAACCTTCATATCCCCTCAAATTTACGAAATTATGCCATTTCTCAAACGCATATCCTAGCTTATGTGTTTCTATTCCCCACCTTGTTTTTGAGCTACATCTACAAGCCTCAATGATTCCTCCATGACTAGCCAAGCAAGACAACATAAGAAAAAGCCTTAATGGTGAATAATTAAGAAAAAAAAAATGAAGAAGAAGAAGAAACCCATGAAATCTTACAGTTATTGTTATCAATGCTAGTAAATATTTTTTAGAAGTTCAAAGGCCATAAAACAATCAAATGAACTAAATTTTCTTAAGAAACAAGAACAAATCACTAGAGAAACATAAATTTATGAAAACAAGAAATTCCCAAATGAAAAAATTACCTTAGAACAATGAAAAATACCCAAATTTCTAGGTTCGCAATGAACCTAACGTATAATTGCTTCCATCACCTTTCACCAACCCAAAGTTCAAAACTCAGAAAAAGAATCAACACTTGCTTCCTAATATTCACCTCTCCCACATTGACCCAGAAGCGACTAGGCAGCCATGGCAGACTATGAAATGCTCGACCCCCTTACCGTGGCCGCCTTAGCCCTTCACCTTCTCTCCACCTTTGTCACGCCCCAGAACCCAAATCCGGGGACGTGGCAGACGCCGTGTACTCGTGAGACGGGTCCCACGAATGCACAAGGCTCGGAACTTATTCAAATCACAAAATCTCAAGAATAAAATCTACCTTACAAAATGATAATAAAATCTAAAACTTATATACAATTAGAATGGCTAGCCTTCTACCTCGTCACTCCCCTTGGTTTTCTTGACTTGGGTCACACTACCTGAAATGGTGGGCAAGGAAAACGAGGTGAGATAAAATATCTCAGTAAGTAAATATGGATAGCCCTTGGTAAAAATTTTTAAGCATGCCAGATAAACCATGTAAGCATAATAGAACCTTCAATGATAAACCGTTAATGCAGAATCAAATTCAGCTCAATAGCAAAGCGTTCAATGGCAAACCGTTAATGAAGAAATCTAGTTCAATTCAATAACAAAGTGTTCAATGACAAACCGTTAATGCAAAAGAAAATTCAGTAGTACTCTCATCTATAGGTCATGGCCAGCGTTTATAAACCTCCCACTGGCGGGCACAGTAGTAGTACCAGTGTTTAACAACTCTCACTGGCAGGCGTCAGTAATAACCAATGTTTAACCCCATTGGCAGGGTTACAGAAGTACCAGTGTTTAACAAACTCCCACTGGCAGGCTTCAGTAATTACCAATGTATTATCCCATTGGCAAGATTACAGAATGGACCGGTCATATTAGTAGACATGTCGACATGTGCTAGCGTTTATAAACCTCCCACTAGCAGGCACAGTAAACATGACCATATCAAAGACAAAACCATGCAGAATTTACAGAAAAACCTGAAATTCACAATCAATCTCAAATTTCATAAATAACTAGAAAATTCCATGTGGGTATGGATTTAACAGAAAATTCAAAACTTACAAAATTCTCAGTTCATCAAAGCAGTTCAGTCAATTCCAAATAGGCATGCTCTATTCAATGCAAATGAAAACAATTTCATGTGGGCATGATCAACTCCAGAAAACAATGAAATTCTCATTTTCATTCCAATTCTGTTCAATTCCAGAAAATAATAATTTTCATAAAAATCATCACAATTTCCATTTCAGTTTAATCACACTCAGATGCTAATAAAATCAATTTAAACCTTGTCACCATCTCAAAAAAACAATTTAAAACATGCTTTAAAATCGAAGGGCTTTACTATAATTTACTTACCTCACTCGCATAAAACCAAAGACTCGAACTTAGTGCTAAACTGACAGAACGATCAGTACCCTAATCAAAATACCCAAGAGTTAATACCACACTACCACAAATTCACAGTGAAATCATCTTTAGCACTACTCCTAATCACAGTGCTATTTCTATCAATCTCTACATGACCGGACATCTCCAAATTTGTTCTTATATTACAAACTAGACATTTAAATCCCCGTTAATTGTTGACCCTCGGTGTGTGAACAGTGCCTTGAACAGTGCCCGTGAACAGTACCGTAAACAGTAACTTCAACTTCCAAAATTGGCAAAACAATAACTGATCTCACGGGATTTTCATATAAACATCATAGCAATTAATCAAGCTAATTCTACCTTAATCAAGCTTAAAAAGTGGTTTAAGGCTGCTGCAACATTTCCCAATCTCACGGGCAGCACATGGAGGAACTGTACTTTGCAAAGCAATAGCTAATTCATGGGATTTTTCATACAAAACCTCACTTCAGCTAAATCAAGCCATTTCTACATGAATTTAAGCTAAATTATATACTTAAATGGCTGCCGAATTTCTTCCTATTTCCACAGAATTTCGGACAACCAAGGGTATCAATTCAACCAATTAAAACTCAACAAGCAGCAACTAGATGGATAAATTGGACTTGGAAGAGCCGGCAACTTACCAGAATTTTCCGGCAAGCAAAAGTCGGGTCCGGCGAACATGGAAGCTGACGAGATTTTGGAGAGGAAGCTCACGGCCTACCTCAAAATTGAGGGAAATAAAAAGAAATTAGAATAACCCAACTTGAATCAAGGCTAGAAGGACGAATTCTTGGCTATTTCTTACCAGAAAACCTGAAAATTTCGCCACCCACCCACCAACAATTCACGGACAGCAAAGGGAGGAAGACGCAGAGCAGAACAGATCTAGAAATTCTGGGTTTAATAGGTGTTCTAGAACAAGAAAATGGGGAGAAATCCCCAAGCTTTATCGATGTTTCTGGCCGGAAATGGGTGGCGGTGGCTGGGGCTCTTGCCGGCTGCAGGGGAGAAGAAAAAGGGCAGAAACACGCGGGTCTGATGAGGAAGAAAAGAAAGAAAGTAAAAAAGAAAAAGGAAAGTAACTGATCCTTATCCTAATTTCCTTTCTTTTTAGTCCCTTAACTTTTGAAAATTTTGCTATTAAGCCCCTCAATAATATTTTCTATCACCAAGGTCCTTACTCAAATACTAAAATATGACCAAATTTTGGGATATTACAACCTTCCTAGCGATGGAACCGGCAGACTCCTTGCTCTCCCAAACGAGGTATGT